CAAACTTTTAATACATTTTCTTTATTTAATTATTAATTTTTTATTTGATTTTTAAATTACATATCTTCTATACCTAACGATATATATTTTAACAATAGCCTGTGTTAAATTATTAGTGGGTAGCATAAACTTAATATATAAGAAAGCTAACAAATATTAGCTAATTAAGCCTTCCACCTGGGATTTTTAATTTGATCTCCTAGGGTCAGTTATTTGACTAATATAAATTATTATATATGATAAAATTGAATTTATCACGAGACAAGATCGAATTTATCATATTTGTACAACAATTTACATGATATATTCAAATTTATCATGTGATAACTTCGAATAAATCACATAAATTGTTGTACAAATATGATAAATTCGATTTTGTCTCGTGATAAATTCGATTTTATCACATATAATAATTTATATTAGTCAAATAACTGACCCTGGGAGGTCAAATTAAAAACTCCAGGAGGGGCTATAATTAGCTAATATTTGTCAGGGGTCAGTAACAGTTAAACATGTCCAGATTTGTATTACCGGTATTTAATTAATTTTGGTAATTTGATCAACTGATTTATTTGTTTTACATTATAATATAATCTGGGTATGTTATTATAAGATCTTCTATTGTTGCTTCGTATTTGTATTGTTTGTATATTAGTAGTCGTATTTTGATTCCGCCGATTGTTCCATTGGCGAAGTTTTCTTGTTGTACAATTCTAAATTTGAATTTTTCATTTTTAATTAATTGGTATGCTATCTCGAACTTGTGGAGTCATATTAATGTTGGTCCATTTCTTAAGTTTTGTAATACTTGGGGTTGTTGTAATGATTGAAAGATTATAGTAAATCTTCATTGATAATATTTTTTTAGTTTGAGATTAAGTTTTTTCTGGGTTTCTTTTAATTGATATATTTGTTTTTTGATGTTTTTAACAGTTTCTTTACTTGGTAAACTTCGATTGATTGTATATTTTCAAATGATTTATTTATGAAATCGGTTGCTTCATCTAAAGTGAAGTTGGGTAATTCTAGTTTTTCGAATTGTTTTCATTTTCTGAGTCGACTTCTTCTTCTTCTTTGTATTTGAAGTCTAGTATTTTCTGATAATGCTCGATTGAATAAAATATTAAGTTTAGTTGTAATTATAGTTCTGGTATTATTATAATATGATCTAGTATTTCTACTTTTGTATAATATTTTCATGTTCTATGGTTGTTTGGTTCTATTTGTAGTGGTTCTTGATTATTCGCAAGGTGAATATATGTTTTTATTTCAGTTGCACTTGTGGTGTTATATCCATTAGTATCTTTGGGTGGATAATAACTATATCCGATTTAGAGGTTGGAACCAGTTTTAATAATTCGAGTTTATCACGTGAATTTTGTGATATTTTAGAATTTAATCCAATTAAATTTTAATAAATTCTAAAATATCACAAAATTTACGTGATAAACCCGAATTATTAAAACCGGTTCCAATCTCTAATCCGATTTCTATAAGTTTTTCTTGATAAATGAGTATTCCAGTTTCTTCTAAAGTTTCTCTTTCTGCTATTCATTCGAATGTTTTATATGAATATTCTTGTTTTCCTCCAGGTATTCTATACCAAGAGTAATATATTTTTTCAGGGTTTATTCTTTGTGCTAATAATATTTCTGGTAATCCTTCATTATTATATCTAAATATCACAACTTGTGATAATTTGATTGTTAGTAGTTTTTCCATTTTTTGTATACTGATCTATAAGGTCGAATGTATGTTGTCTATGGTTTTCTTCTGAGTTATAGTCAGTAGTACTATGAGCTAGTAATTGATTATAGTATCTTTGATATTCGTAGTTGTTTACTGTTATCCAGTTATATATTTTGTTTGGTCCTGATAGCTTTTGTTTTGCTAATTTTTCTGGTATTATATTATAAAATATGTATTCTAGTTCTTTTAAAAGTGTTTTTTCTAGCTGTTGTAATTTTTTTCTAATTTGTTCATTTTCTGAATAATAGTTGGGTTTTATATTTATTTTTACTAATTTTTCTTGAAGTGTTATTATTTTTTCAGTAATAAGGTGAACTTTTTTAGATTCTTCTAAATTATCTATTGTTAGGTATTTATTGTTTTGTTTATAGAATAATTTTGCGTGTTTATTTCTTGTATTTTGGTAAAATTGAAGTATCTGTAGTATAAGATCTTGTATATGTGTTTCTTTATAGAATATTTTAATATAATCGTCATGTTCTAAGAATGTTATTCTTAGTATTCATTTCTTTACTAAGATATAGTAGTATTTGTCATATATCACTTTTGGTATAAATATTAGTTGTGTTCTGGTTAAGTATTTTCCTAAGAGTATAGGTGTTTCAGTTGTTCATAATGAATATAATTCTGAATAATAATGTAATTCTTCTTCTGAGTATTTTTCTGCAGTTTTTGTCTTTTTCTTTTTGTGTTCAAAATTCATTTGATAAATAATCTATTCCGTATACTGGGTATATTGTTTCTCCAGTTCTTTGATATTTATTTAATCGTGTTTTAATATAATTGGCTTTACTTTTTGATTCGTTAGCTAGATAGTTATCACTATCATCAGCTATATGTCTATTATCAAATAAGTATTGCTGTAGTACTTTTTTTGATTAATTTTAATTCTCGTATTTCTTTTAAGAATAATAATAGGTTAATATATTTTTTGTTATCAAATGCATTCCAGAGTATTAATCCTTCTTTGTCTTCTAAGAGTGTTGGAATTACTTGTTGTATTCTAGTATATGCTTTTCGTATTTCTAATACTGTTTTTTTTGAAGGTAGGGTTTTTATTCTGTTAAGAATATAATCTCCTTTTCCTTTGATATATATTTTGTTCTTTTTGGGTAGTTTTTCATAAATAGTTATTTGTTGTTTATCTATTTCAATTATTTTCTCTAGAAATGTATATTGGTATTCCTCTTGTTGTTTTTGTAAAGGTATAATAGAGGTTTGATTGTTTGAGGTCATTTAAATCATATTGGGTTAAAATTTCTTTTATATTATGTTCCTTTCTTT